TTTTTTTTCCAAAGATTCGCCAGGAGCTCACAGATGGGAGTCTGGGTACTGTCAAACAACTAAGATACTGATAAATAGGATTTCAGGTGGCTCCAGAAGTGAATTTATTGGTTATAGCGCTCATGTTACTAGGATCACTGTTGAAAGGTATTTTCATGATTGTATGCTACAAAAGGGGATCGGCATCATCAAAGGTGAATGATAAAAGCAGTTAAACTTCATCCTCCCGAAGGCTTTCTCCAACATCGTGGAAAATTCAGGTGCTTGCCATGGACATGCGAAATGACATCTGTACATCGATTGTGGCCATCACTTGTGCTACTATCGGTGATTATTATTGGCCATACGCAGATCCTATTGGTGCCATTATAGTCTGGTAAATCATTGGTTTCCATTACTTTGCTACATGTTTTTACAATAAAACTAAGTTGTTGCCAAAATTACTTAGTGGTAGTTCGATAAAAGGATGAAGCATTCAACGTTGAACAATCCTTTTTGGGTTGCGCCCCACACTGGACTTCCATTCAGAATTATTGTAGCGTTTGCATGTGTATGTGGCCTATCCATGACCTTGGGTGGGCAGCCGATGTGCAATCCAACGCTTTTATCCTACCGGACGGATCTGGCACTAATAAACAGACCCCGAAGGGATGGGAAGCTAGATTGGCCTGGGTGAGTATCGATCTCGGGCCCGGATCAGAACCCCTGATCATGTGAACGTGTAAAGTCCCCTTCTCGCCATTATACATGCTTCGCTTCAATTTGCTGATTATTATCAGTGACATAATTTTTAGTGCATTAATAGCGATTTCGTGGTTCAACAATGCGTTCCATTATGTTCCGATTCTGGTTGGTGTCCGTGGTGAAAAAGATTACCTCAGCCGTATATTGAAAATTGTCATCGAACACGACGAACGAATACGGTATGATACTTTCGCCGACTTAAGGCTTTTTTCATGGGCCACTGAATGTGGTATGGGGAATTCTTTGATACAATTTCCGCAGACAGAGAGCTGCTTACTCTCTACTACTCTTAAAAAGAACACATTGTACCATTCAATGAAGGTAGAGATTGAGCTCATTCCAGTAGGATTCACATTCTGGGATTGAGAAGCCACACTGATAGCCGTCTTCCTATTTTCGTATCCCTTCTGTTTCAACATAAAGGCTTAAATTTGCTATGAGGAAAGTTCAGCAGTATGTTTCGGTTGTTGCAGGGCTATTGACCATTTGATGGTTTACCATACCGGACTTCAAGCTACCGTTGAATTGCACATAGTTATGGACGAGAATCTTCCACTAAAGGTTTGTTTACTAAGCGCCAGTCCACTCCCTTATTGCCTTTTATTCTTTCAATTCATAACGAAAAATGAAAAAGCAAGTATGACATGCCTTTTCATAATGACCTCTCCCTCTCACCCAAAATCGTACTAGCCTCAACTACATATGTATACGTTAAGCTCTAGGTTATACGTGAAATCTTCCAGCGAGAGGCGTAAATAGCAGACCAAAAAAATCCTCGAAATTGATTAAGCCTTCACTTAGCGGTCCTGTTTCTTCTCTCGTTGTCTTGGAAGATTTCTTTATCCCTCTTCCACCTGGGTTCAAGGCAAAGTTCACGATGATTTTGTACCCGTTTCTATTAAAAAACGGAAGAATAGATTGGGAGTAGCTCATCGGTAGTGAAGAAGGCGAGAGAATTCGCCGATTTCGAGAAAAATATGGCTCCTCAAAAGTAAGGAAAGTAGAGGTTGGACGAGATTGCTATGACGGGAATAACATGGATGGGGTATTCGGACGAGATTTCAGTTATTGCAATTGCACAAAGAGCTGACCACATCACGCCAGAGCTGTACAGAACTGTCTTTCACTGTTGCTATGGGTCATGACAAGTTGTTTGAACTTCCTAAATGGGTTCCCTTGTGATCGGTGCAGCACCTACAATACTGGTGAAACTCGTCCGAAGATACACACTGTGCAATGTTTGAGCCTTCATGACTCCCTAACTAGGCCGTTTTCCGACCTACTAGTGGGAGATATGGNAGAGCTGTACAGAACTGTCTTTCACTGTTGCTATGGGTCATGACAAGTTGTTTGAACTTCCTAAATGGGTTCCCTTGTGATCGGTGCAGCACCTACAATACCGGTGAAACTCGTCCGAGGATACACACTGTGCAATGTTTGAGCCTTCATGACTCCCTAACTAGGCCGTTTTCCGACCTACTAGTGGGAGATATGGTAAACGCGGGAGCCTCAAATTCATCCTTTGGGGGAATCTCAGAAACCATTTTTATCGTGAACTGTGCCTTTCACTTCCCTATATATGACATTAGCTGCTATGCCGGCTTTTAGTCTCCTCCCAAATGAAACAGATCCCCGAGGACTTGTACCAGACCAGACACAGAGATAATTGAAAAAATTTTTATGTATCATGCGGGATCAAAATTGATCACAGAATCATGTAGAAATCTGAGGCTAAAGAATTCCAGATTACACACGACATCTGTCAACCACTGGAAAAGAAACTACTGAAATTGGACTTTGTCGAACGTGCATTCGTCCATTGTGACTACGATTGTGATGGAGATTAGAGGGCGATACTACTACAGACAAATTATGTACATACATGTTGAATAATATTGCAAATTATACACTAACACGTAATTTGATGAAAAAGTATTGAGCAACATCAACAAATCTTTCTCATTACTAGTTATTACCGTAACAATGACAGAAAACTCGAAATTTTCAAAGGCAGTGGATACCGTGGGTCATAGGCTTTACGAGAAAATACTACTGGTGGCGATAGTATGGTACCTCTAGGGATGCAAATGAATGTCAGCTTAAAATAGTGGGGGAATAGGGTCGTTTACCGACAGAATCAAACATGAAGTGGATACCTTTACCGCACCTTGGGTAGATCTCCTTCAATGACCTATCTGGAGCAGATCGAAGCATACGGTCCGATATCGGTTTGTTTGAAAGCTCATGGGACCTATGCAATCGGCCGCTATCATTCAGTACTATTATCCCTACAGAATAGTCTAATCAACCAAACTTGGGAGGATGGAAGGCTTAACTGGCCCAGCTCGTTTTCAATCCGGAATTCAATATGGGGATCATGAGTGCGGTAACTCCACCACCTAACTTAACTTCACTCCCAGTAAAAGTGATTATCTAGTTTTACCTCCGCTCAGCATCACAGAGGCAAAAATATGCAGTCTGTGGCTCATACGAAGGTCAGAGTCCCAGATTCCTAGAACTACCCAACCATTATCAACAATAGGAATCTTGGGAGGAGCAGAGATACGTCTGTGTATGTACATCCGTATGTATATATGTATATATGTGTATTCATAAGAAATGTATGTAAACGTGTGTGTAGCCATTGGTAGGAGAAGAAGGCATCATCTCTCTGTGTTTGACTGAACGACTTCTAGGGCACTTACGCTCAGGTAAAAGTCCTGCACTGCGAAGCATTTCTAGTGAGTTGTGTGAAAGAATGGCCTACCGTACCTACTACCTTTGAAATCTACCTCAGTACATAACACAATGAAAAGGAATTTAGGGTGTATGATCATACTATTTATTAACCTGTTCAATAGTAACTGGTAAAGTGCCACGGGATTGAGATCCACATCTGTTCACATCATAAGTATCTCCTAGAAACTACACTTTGGTAGAGTTGGATCGTTCTGGACAAGTTTTCATACTTCCGTACGAGGTGTACTCAAATTTTAGGAGCTGAAATGAAAGTTCCACATTTTTTCGGAAATTAAAGGAAATTCCAAAAGTCAAGTTCAACGGAAACTGCACAGCGACTGTCGGCATAGGATAAGCCCTGCACTCTCTGTAAGGTGGAATTCTTTTAAGATCACTGCCTGATAACTTTGTCAACGAACGGTTCACCGTTTATAGTGCTCAACTTGAGGATTCCTCTTCGATGGGATGTCCATGGAGGGATTCTTTTGAGAAAGGCTATGAATTGTCAACATGGTCTGAGATTACGCTGTGTCGCCAAACCCTGTCTTACTTTTGGTGAAGTTTGGGTCGGCTACGACCATGCACAAGGGTCAAAGGACTCGGCTAAAGTCGAACTAGTGTTCCATCCTGGTGACAACTACAGTATCCACTGTCTGAACTGTGATTCAAGGGTCAGAACTGCTCTACAGCAGTATTGTGGAAGTGCTGAAGGACATCCGCAGTCTCTGGGCTGTTTCCATGAGATACTAGATAAATGACTCGAAGGCGAAAGCCCTTCGAGGACGTACAGAATATTGGACTCACTGGTGTTAATGGACTCCTATATGCCGATCTTGAAAATACTGCTCTCCAACGTGCATACCATAGACATTAGCGGCAAGCCAGAAGCAACCTATTAAAAGGATGGCTCCTAGAAGATCCCCAGTCGCAGTAAGAACTGGAATCGCTGAGCTGTCTGGATCGATTCGGAGCCGCCACATTGCTCGTACGAGAAATTGGCAAATATACAACAAAATTATGACCTAAATGAATTTATTTAACACATGAAGTCAGAGAAATACTTTCTTGATTGGACCAGAACCGACCTGTACAAGCGACACTGATAAGAACGTGACCGTAAATGGAACCGTGTTTTTGAACCCGCAATCAAATAAGAAGATCGTATTCATGAATATTAGATTTCCAGGTATTGAAATACCAATGAGAATACGTGCCGCAACAGAATCTTCATCTATAAAGGACAATTACTTAAATCTGACCGAAACCAATAACAACAAAACACAGGACGGAAATGACCAAATTTCGAGCTCTTCAGACTTTGTGATACAGTAATTGAGGTGAGTCCGTCCTGACCACCCTATCACCCATCACTCATCCAATATCTACTTTGGTAGGCTTATATGTGACGGGTGAGTTGCCAGCGGCGTCTGTCTCTTTTGTCTCATTATATCAGGGTAGATAGCATACCATGTAATTTATACCTATCGTTGGCCCCACTCTTCAATCTGCATGACAACTGGAGGTGAGGAAACCTTTTACGTGATCAACATTCGATATAACCACTTGATAAGCGAAAGAGCGAACGAGCGGACCAAATAAGTCAAGGCGCTAAGGTTTGACATAAAATATCGATTGCCGCACGCGTCGCTCATGCGACGCGGCAACGGTGACGAAACGAGACATCGCAGACGAGATCGCGGTCGACTTATCGTGAACTGGGAATGGTGCTTTACTGCATTAATTAGCAAATTCTACAGACCGTCAATTCTGTCTTTTTAGGAGTAACGATTTTTAATCTTCTTCAAGAACTTCCAGCCAACTTGTTTCTTTTGATAAGATCAGTAGGTAACTCACGGTTAACAATAAAGGCATGCCACGGACTTGTGAACGTCCATAGACTTTTTGGGTCACGTATTTGATCCTTGCGCGACCGATGTAGCCCGGTACTGATGCGACTGGCCTGGACTGCTACCAAATTGCCACCAACACCTACAAAGATTGATCTGTGTAAGCGGGTCAAGGCTTCCCTAAATCATCATCTAAACCCTAGGAGAAAGCGGGTAGAAGAAGAGCTCTGACCGCCGCTTCTGTATGGGCAGCTATTCAGAGCTAGGTTCAGCTCTAGAAGTACTACTGAGATGAAAAGAATCTGAGCGTGAACCTGACCACAAAAGCACGAATACCTACAAGTACATAACAAAACTGTTTCGCACTAACCATTGATCAGAGGTTGAAAAGCAGCTATTGGAGGATATTTGTGCATAGCATTCTTCAGTACGAAACCACTGAGTGTCGTGATCGACATCGCTGCCAGCACTGCCCACCAGCCATTTTTGAGAACCTAAAAGATTTGTTCATAAGTCCCATCCACTTATCCAGTTGACCTATACCCCAATTCTTTAGAGAGGCCTCTGTAAGGTCAGGGGAACCTTACCTCCACAGTAAAATGATCCTCGGAAGCTTTGTAAGCGCTTGCAACTGCTATGGCGTAGAAACCCAGAAGAATGAGAGCAAGAGCCCAACTGTAATGTTCTCGAACTCGCAGCAGCACACTACCAAGACCGAGCTAAAACAAACGTAACTTCGGAACAAATTCTAGAAATTCGCTTCCTGATTGATCAATTTCAGCTCCACCAAGTTGGCTTCACCGAGTTGCTGACTGAAGGGGTCATCAAGTGGAAACGTAGGCCAGAGTTGTAATCCCGGTGAGGGCGTGCTGTTAGGTCAGAACGCGAGTTGCCGTTTGTGGTGAACGGCTTAACTCCGCCACCCTTAGCTAGACTAGATGCTCACTCCCGCAGACCATCCTCACCCGTGTTGAGGTGTCGCTCCTGCTTGTTCTAAATTTTCGCACTCTGACTCAACAGCACCCACCTGCCAGAAATTTGACTGGCATTTCGTGACAGGACTTTTTCTATAGAGTAATTTAGACTTCAGACGTAGACTTACCAAAATAAACAATGTTGACACATCGCCGAGGGACGCAGCAACTGGAGTGGTGATATTGTCAGGATTCATCTAAAAAGCCACAATAAAACACATAGAACGGGTCGTACCCAAGGACCAAAGGCATTTGAATTCTACCACCTTGAATTTCCTGGCCATGATAACGACACCGATCATGAGCAGTCCTAGAAGTATTGAAGCGAAGGAAGCAGTAGCTACAGCTGAGAGCAGCAGACAGAGGAAATCACGAAACATGAACTGAAAATAGTGGAAATAAGGAAGAATTCAAGAAGAACACACGATTAGCCTGGCCGGGTGCAGGGCCGGAATCGGACTCCCGAGCCATGGGCGGGATGGAGCGCCTGTTTTGGCGGTATGGTCAACCGGGGTTTTTCTTTTAAAATCGGTCTCGCTTTCTCTGCTTGCCTACCTTCAAAAAAATTAACGTTCTCACCGGCTTTTCTCCTAATAACGCTGCTGGAATGACTGTGATTGAAGAAACGACGATAGCTTGGGTCTGGATTAGTGCCATGTTTGACAGCGCCACTTGCCACTTTTGCTTCGTTGTCTCCATGAATCCAAGATTCGCCTGGAATACATAGTTATCATCAGTTATTCATGCCATCTCGTTCAAGTTTGATACCAATGTAGACAGCCTGGAAGCCAACGTCATTTCAAGATTCCCTTTCAGTCCGACAAGGGTCGGCACCAACGTAACAGCATCTGGCAGTTCAATGAAGAATGACCATGTTTCGGCGTCTTCCAGAAGTAGGCCAGCAAATATCAGACCGAGGCCGGCGAAGAGGAAAGGGACCAATGTCTGAAAATAGTAATTTTGAGAAATTTCAGGATCTTCCTAGACCAGATGAGAAGCTGAGTCACTTCCATTCTTCACAGGCTGGGTAAAGAGGACCAAGACTGAATCGCATTGCTATAGGCCTACCTACGATCAAGCAAACCAGAACTAAAGAATACCACTTATACTATCACTCATATCGCTCTGGACCGATGCGTTTTGGCGAAAATTACAAAGGCTGCATTGTAGTAATCGTTTTATCTAGGATTTTACCTTCTATTTTGCTTCTTTCTGCAAATGAGCCTGAGTAACTCAAAACAATGGGCTGTTAGAGGAGCATACTGCCTTACTCTAACGGAATATGAGCAGTACTTCTAGAATGGGAATACCAACCTCGAGGCAGAACGATATGTTCGTTTCGGGTTTAGCGGACGACACTGGAGGAGGTTTCTTCAATGACATTTGCTGAATAATCACGGCTATCGGAGCGAATATCCACTGTTCGGGTGAAGACGTCGGTGATGTACCGTCAATATTCCTCAAACAGTATGATGAATATAAGAATAACTAGGAAATTGGCAATTATAGTAATAGAGCCTAGTATGATACATTCTAGCAACCCCGATTCGGTGCCTTTCCAAACTATCAAATCCATTACCATTCAGAAAATCAAATCAAATGCTCTTAGAGAAGAGATGCTCACCAGTTATTATAGTGGAGCCGAGTAATTAAGTGTTTTTTCATCTGTTCCACCATATCATAAACATAAACAATTTATATGAACACTAGCTTAGTTATAGTCTTTTCAATTGATTTTTAATAAATTTACGATTTTATCAGGTCATATTTTTGTTTTTTAATTTATTCAAATTTTTTACTAGGCATATTCATTAATTCACGACATGCTATCAGTGGCGACGTATAACGCGACGCGACGTGGTCAAAGGAAAAAGTATAAACATATATAGGGAACTATAGAGCAAACGAAAAATGAAGCCACCGAAAATTTCAACAGAAAGCACTACGTGAAAGGCTCATTGCTGAACGAGTAGTTCAAAAATTGTCATTTCCCCTGAAGAAAGTGTCGTAGGCTTGACTGAATGCAGAAAAGTGATTGAAATGAATGAATTTAATTGCCATCAAGAGCAATTTCGCAGCTGAATAAACAAGCCACAACTCTGAAATGGGCTGAACAGATCGGTTTTACTTGCAAAAGCCTTCGGATACTCCCTTAGATATTGTGGAAGTTTTATGAGAAGAATAGTACAGAATAAGTTAGAGAAGTCAGTTCTTTGACAACTTACTCAAAACAACCCTGCCTTGCCTAGGAGATTAACACAAAATTTTGATTTAATTAACTTAACGTTTTCTTTAACTTTTATTTCTCTTAGTTTCCTCAGTTTCATCTCTTTGTTTCCAAGCTCAATTTATTTTTCTTTTCATTTTATGCCTACTTCAGATTGATAGGTGTCTTCCAGGGGAAGAAGCTGTTCAAATCAGTTCAGAACTAGGCCATGACAGGTGAGGAATGTAAAAAAAAAGAATACAAAATATCGGAAAAATGGAATAAACCGAGCTGAACTATTGACATAAACAAAAAGACCCGTGGTTTTAGGAAGGAGAAGATAAGGAGGAAGATGAAGAGCAGGAAAAGTAGAATAGGCCCGGCTTGAGCGTAACACTCAAAAGTCATCCTGAGTGGAACGGAGTTGATGAATTATCAACTACGGCTCAAAACGACGCTGCCCTCCTGTGCCATCCTCCTTTCTCTTCTTTTCTTCTGAGTCATTCTATCGATCATACCAACTGGGCATTTCCGGACAGGGTAATCTCAATAGAATTCCGTTCAGTGGAAAGACTATGGAATAAATCCAAATGTACAGTTTTCAATGTAAAAATGTCAAGAAAGAAAATTAAGAAGGAAGTCAGGTCTGAAAAAAGTACTGCCAAACACTTTTGGGCACTTTTTGTAACCATGGATGGGTTTATTGGAAATTCGAAAGACTTGGGATTACCAAGAAGTTTTTGGGGGCCTCTTTAACTCCAAAAATGAGTGGAAAGTTATGATCAAGGTTCAAAAATTTGGCCCTGGGGTCGAATGACTGATAAACTGTGAGTTCCTAAAAATCACAATCAGTGCCCCAATGTCGATATCTGGTGCCTTGTAAAAATAATTAAACATGTCGGAATCAGTGCTTTCCCATAGAGGAACATTTCCACGGCGGCTCCAAAGCAACTACAGTCGAAGAAAAGGAGAAAGAGTTTTAGTAAAGATGTACTTCAACGGCAAGGGTCGCAGAGGATTCCAAGGACGAAAAAAAACGACAGTTTTCAAGGAAAGCAAGACTTTCTAAAGGCTGAAGAGAAATTTGGGTAAACAGATGCTAATGAAACCGATTTGCGGCTCTACAGTGGGGGCGACTTTGAAGTTGTCGGTAAAAAACTACTTTTATGACTATGGGAGTTCATGAGAGTAGTTAAAAAAGGAAAAAAAATCAGCAAAACATCCGACGTAGGAGGGCTAACGTTAAGGGGAAGAAAAATTGAAAATAATAAAATTACAGATAATACTAATAAACAGATGATTCAAAATGTAATTTACACAATACTGTTTATGTCTGGTATTTATATCTTCTCACGAAAACCATTTTCTGAGTCACATACGTCAGCCAAGAATGCAGTCCCGACTACGTCGTTATGGAGCCTAGTAGTCTGAGGGGTAGAAAAATCGATAACCATGAAAGTAGAACTTCGTCGATACTATTTACGAGTCTCTCATACTCACAACACACAACGTTGAGCGATCACCGAATAATCTGTCCTTTGAAACAGCACAGCCTATGAACTGATGAAAAATCCACTTAAAATTAGCAAAACAGCGTTGAAATTATTCTGATTCTTAGTAAAACTAACGATGAATTATGAAAATACAGCTGGCCCGTCGGGAAAGTGACAAACACAAAAGGGCAGAACCCCGTTCTCTACATGTTTCCGATCGCCTCAATGGGAATCTTGCCTGGAAGGAAAGGGCAAGAAAATCCGTAGCCATATTGTGGATCGATAATAAACAAAAATTTCTGTATGGGTAGGATACCGATTTAAACAAAGGGATATCGAATTGAAACGGTCCCTAGCCGGCCAGCTGTAGAGCAGATCGATTGAACATCGCGAACGGCTATTCAATGACAGAACGACCTTGTGTGCGCAATGGCATGAAAGTCATGTCTACGGAGTGGAGTAGTGGCGTCATCGCTAAACAATCTGAACAGCCCCCCATTATCATGGAATCCGGCTGTATCAATAAAAAATCGGAACAGAGAGAGACATGGTAAGTTCATGGTGTTGTCTAGGCATCTGCCTGCACCCTAGGCTAGAAGCAATCCTTTTCATCCCCACAGGTACCTACTGCGGCCTAAACCGCTTCCAGCAAGGCTTACGAACAAACGTTTCGGAGAAACCGCGGAAATCGGCTCATTTTGAAAAATATAAAGTTCCAAAAAGCAGAAGAAATAGGGGTTGGACGAGATGTGAAGAGAAAAATTGCGTGGGGAAAGATATTCGGACGAGCTGTCCGACTGTGTGTTCCATTCCGTACAGCTGGCTACCGCAACCTGCCTGCATGCAACGTGCTGTCCCGGTGCGGATGGTGCAACGTCCAAAGCATCTACAAGGCCGTGCGAACTCGTCCATCTTGGGTGTGAACGACGGCTAAGCAGCTTTTGGAGCCCTACCAACGCTCTATCTCGGGCGTTTTCCAAGGCAACAGCTTCCCTTGTGCTATTTTTGGGGGTCTATTTTCAAGTTGGTCCTAAGGAAAATTCTCAAACACCACTTCCAGAGTGAACTGTGTTTTTGTCTTCTTTTTCAGGTGGCTTTGGTAACAGGGAACTTGGCGAACAAGGACATTTCTGGGTCGGAAGAACAATGTAGCTACTCCTGAAAAGATCCAGGCTAGTTAGTTAGAGGAAGCAAACAGCTTTACAGTTTTGAGCCAAAAAATAGGAATAGAGGGGGCCACAAAGCTTAATACTCAGAAACAAAGTTCCTGTTCAATAATGTTAGAAAAGGGTGTTCGAAATTCGCTCTTCAGATGAAAGCTCCGGAGCTTTTCCACTTGCTGTAATGGCCTCTTATGGAGGAAAGTTAGAATGAAATGTAGAGAAATTGAAAATAACGCTTACGTTTCGATTTGAAGAGGAGATCCAGTTGTTAGTTGTATAGTCGTCACATCCGTGAATTCATCCTGGATTGACATTTTCTGGAAAACAGTCAATCCGGTGACAACTAGTTTTTTATGCTTGTTCGTAAGTTCGAGAAAAATACGAAAAACGTCATTCCAAAAATATTGCATTAAAAGCACAGGCAAAGACATCTGGCACATAAGTTGACAATTGTCTCGAGCGATAACTTGTTTTGGATGATTGCCAACAGAAGAGAAGGTGAAAGCCAATGAATAGGGCATGGCGGTCCAGGTTTCTCCGCCTACTCGCTCATTGTTCCCGGTGTTTTTGGCTATATGTGAGATCAGTAGTAACAGAATAAAGTCTCACAAAAAAAGAAAGTCGATTGACAGAAAAGCGTTGAATCAAAAGATTCAAATAAAGTGAAAGAGAAGAAGAGAAAAAATTATACTAATAAAAATAAAAACTAAAATAAAGATTAAAATTTGTAAGTTGCCAAGGCGTCTTCAATTCCAACATTACTACTACTGCTCCAATTACAGGATTCTGTTATTCAACATATTCATCCAAAACTTCATTATCTTCCCCCTCAGCTTCTACCAAATTATTAGGTCCCCGGCAGAGAATCTGTCCGAAATTTCGCAATGGACCAGGTTTCTTTCTGGAATGTTGTGGAGGATTCCATGGATTTCTACGTTATGACACCACCCTCACATATCTCCTTACATATTCAGCGCTATAATGGCCAAACTGTTTCTCCTTATCGACCCATACTTCTTTACGAGTACGAATCCGTCAGAAACTTCTGCATTTATTTGAAAAATTCATTTTTTTATTAGTTTTTAGGAGTTATGATTAAATGGTTGTCAAAAGAGATGAATTCAGTGCTATGCGCTCTGTTTATACAGCCTTCTGCCCTCAGACCTCGCCCAGTTTTCGCTTTAAGCAACTGTCTGCTAGCCCCTCTCACTTCAGCTGAGGTCTGTTGTTGAAGCCATTGGTTGTAGTATTGTTATGCAGGAAAACTTCAACAAAGCAGCCTTTATGAGCTCCACACAAATGACAAAGAAGCTTAGAAGCTTCGTACAAGTGGCTCTTGCTTGAAAATTCTTAGCTCTGAAATGGAGAACATAGCAAAACCAGTCATAGAAAGGATAGCTCCACGAAATGAAAGCTCGGAAAAAGTTCCAAATAATTTTTCGCCTCTCCGAATAACACTCGATCGACGAGAATCTCTCCCTCAAAATTTCAACCAGTTTTTTGGTTTTCATTGGAAACTTT